TTTGTTCTGGTTCCTTGTGTTTGAAACATGAAAAGTTTTTTTATATTTTTATTTAATTTGAAGTTTTGTAAATTTCAGTGACAAATTAAACAAATTTGTGTATTATGACTGTACAAAGGTTTTCTTGATTTCATATACTGTAATGCACAAGACAGAGGGACAGTTACTGAAAACAGTTGGCACTTTGATCATTTAAACCACTAAAAACATGCATTTCTTGCTAAGACCATTCTGTCTTCATTTATCCAGAGGCCGACTGTAAACACTGATATTTATTTGGCCCAAGCTTTCACCAGTGACTTGTTTTGATAATTTGTTAGGAGGCAGGCTACAGCAAAGAGCTGGTTGATATTGCCAGCAATGGTCAGAGGAATAGTGGTGTCAAAGAGTTTATTTTCTTTGATCCGCCTAATTGCCCTCTCCACATGTATCCTTAACCTTGCAATGTCCTGAGTGACCAGCACTTCATCACGAGACAGCTGCAACGTTTTTGTCATTAAAGGTGGTCTGTAAACTTTGCACGGCACTAGGTCATCAATTCTGAATCCCTTGTCCACCATCACAGCCATGTCTTTGTCAAGCAGAGGGATAATGCCAGACTGTCTAAACAATTCTTCATCACTGATAGAGCCAGAATACAATGAAGACACAAAAGTAACAGTACCATGCGGTGCGACACCAATCATTCCTTTCATGGTAGTGTGCGATTTATACTGGGAAAACATTTCACTCTGCAAAAGTAAAGATGAAGACGTCTGGCATCTCAGCTCTGCACAGTAAATGATGACTTGGGTGTCAGAATATTTGCCAAACACACTTGGCATCATGGCTCGAATACAATCACTAGACATCCATATCCCAACAGCACCCAGCAAGGTGTACAAAAAATTAGCCCAAGTTCTGATGATACTGCTGACAGTGGACTGGTTAATGTTGAAGCGATCACTTAAGTCCTTCTCCTTCAGACCCAGTGACAGGTACACCAAGAACAGGAACAGTTCATCAATTAGTGGAAGGCATCAGCTCTGTGGAGGCAGACATGTCTTAGTGGTAATAACAGCCTGGAGACCATAAATGTATGTGTGAATTGAATTACATTATTTAGATATTGGCATTGTTTTGGGGGCTAATTTATCAGTCAGCTGTTTCTATAAGCAAAATTATGCAGTATGAGCTAT